CAACAGCAAAGCTACACCCCAGCACCACCTCACCACGGCTCTGCAAAATGTCAGGCTATAAACCATTCTTAGTGCTCACTGGCTTCTGAACACTGAGCGTAGAAATAGCCACTTGCTCTTTGCCCTGATGTTACAGGCACAGCCGAGTAGCTGCGCTATGCCTGTAGTGCTGACAGATCTAGGACAGCATCGTCAGGGCAGCTGCACGCATCCCACCCGAGCATGCTCTAGTGTGTCCAGCCCACCTCTTACCTCAACTGGGCCACTGCTGGGCATTCAACACCAAGTTCACACCACAAGCAGAGCAGCCAGCTTTCCTGTACCAAAGAAGAACAATCAGCATAGCTCCCTCCTAATCCTGAGCCCTCAGAGGCCTGTGACCTTTTTTTGTATTTTAATGCATCTCAACATCGCCAGCTTCACCCCACTAAACAAGGACTGCAGCAATGTGCTTGTAAGTTTTTCTGATTAATACGACGAGCAGGGAAGGGCGCCATGGGGAGACTGGGCAAAAGGGTGGTCTATGCCTAGGGTGGGACAACCTAAGACCTCACGGGTAGTATTGTTGCCAACCACAGGTAACTAGTGCACAATGGATCCTCACGAGAGGGCAGTCATCACCGCCACCATTAGCTGCACTACCATACCCCACATCTCAACTCATTCCCCTCAACCCGCGCTGCATGAACCCACTACCAGACACCACTCTTGGCGGTGCCAGGGTCGGAGACCCAGGCCTGCACCTCACCACCGAGCTGTACTAGCCCTGCTGGTTTAAAAGCCTTGGCAAGTGTGGGCTACAGAAAATGGAGCCTGCCTCCCTGGCATCAGGCAGCAACCAGTGCTGCGCACAGCCAATTTGAAATGCCATTTCCTTCCATCAAGACAGCTGGCCAAGAACCTCACATCCTGAGGCAGTAACTCCATTCATCTCAAAGGACAGCTTTGATGCCACTGCTGTTTCCATCCACTGCAGTTTACTGAGGCAGTCTCTCGTCCTCCAGCCCAGGCTGGGTGAGCATTCAGGGTTACATAAGTATGTGCCATGATCTCCTGCTTCCCAGGACCTTTTGAAGGTTACTGGCTTTATGATTTCCAACAAGTCAATTTATCGGAAACGTCCTCTTTCCAGACTGACCCCCGCTATTGGTTTGTGCAGGGCCATCAAATTACCTAAACCTGTCCATCAACTAGGAAAGGGGTCCCTCTGTAGCTTCAGGGAGTGTTAGGCTACTAATCATTCAGATGTTCACAGGTCAGAACACTGAGCGTAGACATAGCCTCTCTCCTCTCTGCCACCTACTGACGCACATGTGGCACAGCAGCCACACCTGCAACGCCTCTAGGGGCAGGCCGTTGATGAGCCAAGTACCCGGAACCTCGAATGAATCTTGCAAACTTTGAGTCAACTTACCGAAGTCTCCAACATGTCCTCTCAGCCCAATTTCCAGCAGGCAAACGCCCTAGAGAAGGAAAGCAGCACACATTCTTGTCAAGATCACAGCGGGGGACTGCATCAGACTTGTATTTTATTCCAATCCCAGTGGGTCCACATGGTTTGGTCTCCTTGCTAAAGATTTCTGTAAGTAAAGTAAAAATTGGAAAAACGAAACCACTCCTTGCTCTTTCTTCCAAACTCAGTGGCACCGCGCTAACCAGACTGGATACTGTCTCGGGTCTATTCACATTGGTTCTGAATAGCTGTCCTTCCAGTAAAGACGTCCATCTCCTACATCGGCAAGCAGCAAAAGCAGACAGGCACTTTCCCTAGGAAGGGGAGACTGGGGCCGAGCCCCACTCACGGATATCACAGAGGAATGCCTAGGAAGCTCCCTGCATTGTACTAGCCCAGACGCGAGCCTCGGTTTTCTTACCTGGGCCGGAGGTCCGGGGTGGGGAGCGAGGCCCTTGGGCACATCTTGAACTGCTCTAACCACAGCGTTAGTCTGCTGCACACATTAGGGCGACTGAGCCCTCGGCAGGAAAGCAAGCAACATTTTTTAACAACCGACAGTACGAGACGCAGTCATCCCGCCAGCAGGCCGAGAGCTATGGAGGGTCTTCCGCGGCGTCCCAGGTCAGCCACGGACGCGAAGACGACAAGAATCTGCACGCCGCCATGGCCGCCGAGAGGCTGAACTGGACCGCACCACGTCTTTTATAGTAGTGCCTACGGCAGCCCGCGAGGGACTTCCCCTGTCCTTCGGCTGCAGCTCCATCTAGTGGACCAAACGCTCCTCGTCAGGGCTCTTTGTAGCCCCAGTTCGAGTCTTCTAGATCTTGCCTTGCCAAGTGGATCTCAGCAACTAATTTTGCCTGTTGCCAAGTTCGCAGGACTTTTTCAAACTACCCATAGAGTCCTGCGCCTTCCCAAGAAGCTCCCTGCTTCCCAGGTTCT